TGTAGATGCTCATGGCCTTTGTAGCCCAGGCTGGGCTTGGGACTTATCAGTGTCAGGTCCTTCTACACATCAGTCCACCTCAGTGCCTGTCAGCTGCCCTCATGACTCCTCTGCCCTTAGCCAGACTGGGTTTCCAGAGGACACCACCTAGAACCACCTAGACCAGGCATCTGCCAAGCAATTCAGGACACACCCCTATGCTAGTGATTGTCCCCCTGCCTCTGCCCTTGAGTACATCTGAGCATGCCTACCAGTGGTCACTCTTGACTCTGGGCCTCCTTCTGTCCCTTCTCAGGTCGCTTCCAAGACCTGGATGCCAAGGCTTCCTCACTCCTCCCTTTGGCCAAGGGCCAGTCATCCTTGAGCACGCCCTCTAGAGTCTAGTCTTAGAATAGTGAGCCTGCAAAGTTTCCCAGGTTTCTAGGGACCTCTTTTCTGTTGGTCCCGCTCAGTCAGGCGTGCTCATCCGTGAGGACCTAGATACATGCATTTCCCCTCTGACCATCTTTAGAGGTCCTTCTAGGTTCAGACTGTTCCTCTTTTCACCCTGGACCACGAGGCAGTGAGAGAAAGGTTGTATTGGACACACACGCACACACACACTCAGTATCAGGATACTGTGTTGGTGTGAATCAACTAAGCCATGCCTGATCGGTTTATCTGGCTAAAACCACTGGTGGATCCCAGCCCCTTATCCCAACCCCATGGGGAAAAAACTGTAGATGAGACGAGGAAGGGCAGGCAAAAATATTCATCCAGTGGTCCAGGACATCAGGTCAGTTGGGACTCCTCTTTCCTCTTGTCCCAACTGGAAAGCTTAGAACACTTTGACACCAGCATTCCCATTCTCCATCAGGTTGTATTTTAAAATCATTTAAAGTGGATGGCTTTGCATACATTATAGGAATTTCCGGAATTATGTTGAAACTTTTTTTTTTTTTACTGGAAGGTGTCTCACATTATATCCCACTCCCATTTGCCCGGCACTAGTCATGCGCGCCATTCTGTTTCTTGCCTTGTTTTCTTGCAAAAAGAAATATTGTGCCTCTATACATTTTATTTTATTTTTTTTTTTATTGAGAATAGGAAAAAAAAGTTTCTGCCTCCTCCCAGTCTCCCATTTCCCTCCCCCTCCCCCCACTCTTCTCCCCCTCCCCCCACTCCTCTCCCCCTCCCTCTCCAATCCAAAGAGCAGTCAGGGTTCCCTGCCCTGTGGAAAGTCCAAGGTCCTCCCCCCTCCGTCCATGTCTAGGAAGGTGAACATCCAAACTGGCTAGGCTCCCACCAAGCCGGAACATGAAGTAGGATCAAAACCCCTTGCCATTGACCTTGGCTTCTCATCAGTCCTCATTGTTCGCCATGATCAGAGAGTCCGGTTTTATCCCATGCTTTTTCAGTCACAGTCCAGCTGGCCTTGGTGAGCTCCCAATAGATCAGCCCCACTGTCTCAGTGGGTGCTTCTATACATTTTAAATGTGTGCCACAAGAACCGTATTTCATACTAAGATCTCACGACTGCTCCGGTTGCTTCCACCCCCATGCGTTGCTCTTCCTATCTCCTTGCCCCCCAACAACAGCGCAGTGAAATCCTCAACCGTATGTCCAATGCAGTGCCTCTCAGACACCTGTCGCCTCACGGGGTTTAAAATGCAGGCTCTAGCTCAGCAGGCCTAAGATAGAGCTGTCAAATTTGATTGGGAGGGGGGGCAGGGAGTGTTTGCTTTTTTCTTTCTAGACATGGTCTCATGTATTCCAACCTGGCCTCAAACTCGCTGAGGAAGGTCTTATACTTTGGTTCTTCATCTCCCAAGTGGTAGACAGGACTATAGGCAAGAACTAGCAGCCCGGTTTGTGTAGTGCTGGAGATCAGGCTGAATGCTGGGCTAACACTACCAAATGAGCTGCATCCTTAGCCCCTGAGAGTCTACTTTTTGCTGTTAAGTTTTATTTCATGTGCATGAATGAGTGCTTGCATGCATCTGCACCACATGAGTGCCTGGTGCCCACAGAGGAGGGGGCAGCATCAGATCTCCAAGAACTAAAGTTACGGGTGGTTGTGAGCTGACATGTGGGCTCTGGGGACTGAACCAGGATCCTCTTGAAAGAGCAGCAAGTGTTCTTAACTGCCGAGCCATCTCTTCAGCCCCCACAGAGTCTCTATAGCTCTAAAGAGCTAAGGGATGACTATACTGCTCTTCCCGGGACCACATTTTGAAGATTGAGACACCCCCCCCCAACACTCCCCGAAGACCTCTGCGAGAATTCATTTCGTTTCTGGGTTATAGGATGAGTGTCCCATTTGGTAAGGATTGCCCATCTGCTTGCCAGTTTCACTGCATCGCCCTACCCCACACCAGCAGGTCAGGAGGGTGGAAGATGTATTTTGATGTGAGGGGAGGGAAAAGGCTTTTTGTATTCTCACCTGCACTGTGTTCCCTGCCATCCTGTGCATATGGTCTTGGTTAAAACCTCCTCTCCCCTTAATTAGAATGGTACCAGGTCTCTGGAGTGATATACCTGGCCAGCAAGGCATGGCTAGATTAGTAAAAGATCCAGGCTAGGCTTCTTAGTCTCTATTCCCACTACAGACTACTCTGAAGTCCCAGCCCTCCAGATATCTAGATAACTAGACACATTTGACATATGACATCACTAGTACTTAGCTTCATCTCTAATGTGGATTTCTCCTTAGTCGCCTGTTAGAGTGATCTGGGACTCAAACAGCCTGGCCTTAACACTGAGGAGTTGCTGTCCTGATCCTGTCAAAACAGTCACAGTGTATGCACATACGTATGTACATATGTATGTATGCATGTGTATATAGTGGTGTTAGGGGCTAGTTCAGGCACTTCACCTTGCAAGCCTAATGCCCCAAGTCGAGTGTCTGTTTTATGTTCATGTAGAAAATGAAGTTTAGAAAGACCTATCGGGGCTAGGAATGTAGCTCAGTTGGTAGAATACTTGCCTAAGATGCAGGGAACCTTGAGTTTGATCACCAGTAACAATTAAACCAGGCATGGTAGCACATCCTTGTAACCCCAGCCCTTGGGAAGTAAGGGCAAGAGGATCAGAAGTTCAAGATCATCCTCAGTTACATAGTGAGTTTGAGGACAGTCTGAACTACATGAGGAGTGTATATGTGGCTCTGTGTGTGTGTGTGTGTGTGTGTGTGTGTGTGTGAGAGAGAGAGAGAGAGAGAGAGAGAGAGAGAGAGATAGATAGATAGATCCATGGAGCAAGAATGTGACAGGACTAGGTTACAGCATGGTAACCACAAGAATAACAGCATCTCCATGTCTTGCCTTGACACATGGTCCTATTGCAGGGGGAACTACAAAGAAAAAGAGGGGCTGGTTTGGGGTTTTAGACACTGAAACTAGAGATGTCTAACCAATAACATATAGAGTTCCAGACTGTAGCAGGTTTTGGCCAAAGTGAACCATGATTTAAGGTGCACGAGTGTGTGGGTGGCCGAAGAGTTTTTTGGCCTAGAGCTTCTGAAGCAGAGATTTTAAGGTTAGGTATAAAATAGAGTTGGGAAGCAGCAGGGAATGGGTAGGGGGTCGGGCATGGATAAAGACTGTTAGTTGGGCCCTGGCTGTGTGCAAACTATCTAACATGTCTGTCACCTTATCTGGTAACTAATGCTCAAAGGTTTTTTGGTAGGGTCATCATAGAAGCCACACTCCGAGGAATTATGGATGATCCAAAACCTTCTGGGATGTGAGCAACTTGCTTAATCAGTTTTGTAAATCCCTGAGTTGTTTTCCTACTCACACAGTTTTGTAAGCCCTTCCTGGCACCAGGCTCCAACGCCAAGCATTGCACAAGTATAGTTCATTATCTGCCTAGTTTGAGGTTGTGTGACACAACCTTCTGCATTTGGTCCACACCATCCATCCTGTGCTAGATATTTTAGGGCTGAGATTCTATCTAGGACAGAGAATTTCTCTGGACTCCTAGAGAAACTTGCTCCGTCATCAAGCTTCTGGATCAAACAGCCTTTTGAACTTGAAGAATGTTCTTGGGGCCAAAACAGCTTAACTGCTTTTTGGCCTTAAAAAGTATTTTTCATAAAACCAGGCATGGTGGCACAAGTTTTAATCCCAGGACTCTAGAGGTAGAGGCAATAGGATCAGAAATTTAAAGTCATCCTTACTTAACTAGTAAGTTTAAAGCCATCCCAGGCTTCATGAGACCCTGTCTGGAAAACAAAACAAAACAAAGTATTTTGTAAATAGATACTAACTTTGGATCATAACAATCCTATGGAAAAAAAATGGAACACACTTAACACTGAGGTTCAGAAATAAAGAATTGGCCAAACTGTGGGTGTCTGAAAAGGGACTTGTTCTTTCATAACAGATCTGGAGGCTCCGTATGTGTGTAGGGGCGGAGTGTATGCGGATGCACAAAGCCTTGGGTTCAATCTCTAGCATGCGTGTGCACACACACACACATACACATGAAACTTACTACGATGACTGATGATTAGATTATTTTTCATTTCTGGGAGGTGAGTGAGGTGGGGTCCCCATGGTTTTGGACCAGGACCACCCCTATCTATCTATCTATCTTTCAGTAAGGCCCATTCCAGAGTCTTCTATTCTTCTCCTGGAAGCAGAGAGAGAGGATCCTTGACAAATGTACAGAGTGATAAGACCAGGGTTATGCAAGTGGAAACACTCAGGAAGCCTGAAGCAGGAAAGGCTGAGGTGGCAGGACAAAAAGATGCTGCCTGGGAGACCAAGTGACGGACGTTACCACTTCTGTATGGGTGTTCTCAGGGGCGTGGTCAAGCTCTTGTCCTTGGCTAAACCATTTGTCCTGTCCATGACACCAACATGAGTTTAAGGTAGATGGCCCAGATGCCAGGCCCCCACCTGTGCTTGTGATTGGGGGTCTGAGAACTGCTGGGGTTCCACTGCCCTCCCTCCCCACAGGACTCAGGCCTTTGGCCGGGGCTCAACAGACACAGGCAGTAAGATGGGGTTGCCCTTCTATTGGTCCAAGTCCTGAGCATAGCCTGGGTGAGTCATGGAGGTAAGGAGGCCCACAAGGCTCAGCAACGTGGAGAAGAGCAGCAGGAAGGAGGCCGCGAAGAGCAGAGCAGGCAGGGCACTGAGTACCAGCAGCAGGATAGCTGGCAGCAGGTGGCTCCACACCACAGCCACCACAGGCCACAGGGAGCTCAGCAGGTAGGAGCCCGTGGTGAAGAGTGCATGACATAACATCAGGGACAGCAGCAGGTAGAGTGTCCCCTCCAGACCCCATAGCATATGCTGTAGAGGTTGCCGCCAACCTGATGTATTCCACCACTGAGACCAGCTCCGGGGCAAGTGGCATGCCCACCAGCGCACCCAGTCCTGACGGGTGACCCAGGCTGACCAGGGCACTGCCCGCTGGGGTCCCTCGCCAGCCCCGATGATATCCGTCTCCACTCGTGGCTGCTGCATCACGGCTGGTACACCTGTGGACAGGGCCAGGCCAGCTGCAGGAGCAGCCCTGGAGATGCCCAGGACCTCCGGATAGGTAGGGTTGCAGGGGTTAGGAGGATACCAGCGCAGGCAGGATTGGGGTTTGAACTGGGGCCTAGGACTTACCTTTGGGCAGAGCTGCCTAAGTCATGATGCTTCCTGCTGTGCCCAGGCCAGCCTGGCAGCCAGGTCCCAATCTCACCCTCACTCACCCCACCATCCCTCAGAGGAGTCCATTATGACCCGGGCTGGGGCGGGGCCCAGCTGACAGGAGCTACTGCATAGTGTGAGGCTCTCTTGAGTCCCTTACTTATGGACCCTCTAGGCTAGCAGGAGTGTTCAGGAAACCTCACAGAAACCATTCTCCTTGCTTATAGGAAGCCTTCCCCGCTCCTGTCCCTCCTTGATGGCTGCCTCAAACTGCAGGGCTGGAGTTGGTTGCTGTATCCACCCTTTTCTCTGCCTTCTCTTGTTGCCCTAAGCCTCAGCCCCAGTTCTCAAATGTCCATACTATGGAACTAGAGGCCTCTGAGGTTCAAGCTGAACACAGTGGAGCACTCTACCCTCACCCCACCACCTTACCCTCGTGTGGCTCAGCATGGAGGAGAAGAAACCCGGGGAAGCAGAATGGCTGGTGTATTTTTAGAAGGCATTCAGTTTTCGGAGGGCCCTCAGGCCCAAGGATGGAGGCAGAAAGCCAGGCCCAGCAGGGCTAAGGGTATACCAGAGCCTCCCAAGAACAGACCCAGGCCCAGGAACAGCAGGAGCAGTGCATCCTGGAACCCGAGTAGTCCTGAGACCAGCCCTGAGTGGAAGAGGGCAGCTGCCTGCTGTCCTGGACCTTCACCAGCCCCCTGGCTCTGACCCATTGGAAGAAGTCTGTGTCGTGGCAGGATAGGACCTGGGGGCCTGTGGAGAGAGAAGAGGGCAGGTCAAGGCAACTGCTCATCTGTCCCTGTGCTTGGGACCCCCACCTGGCAGCCTCCTGTCACTTACCCATGGAGCAGGTCAAAGGCCAGGAAGCTGACCAGAAGTAGGAGCAACAGGGCTAGGCCAGCTGTCGAGAAGACTGTTCGAATTGTCGCTCCTAGTGCCCCCAGCCCTAGGATACTGTCCAGGAGCCGGGCCCAGCTGAAGCCCCAGGGGACACACGAGTCACTGACCCCTCTCAAGTATCCAGACTGCTGGGAGGGCTAGGGTGGGGTCTACAAGAGCTTTGGGTATGGGAAAGCAGAGCTGGGGCTTGGAAGTATTAGGAAGTGCCAGTGCTAGGAGATTAAGGGATCAGGAAAAAGGAAGACCTTGGTTTACACTCAAAGCTCAAAGAATAGGGAACTAGGCTCTTCGTGGATGCCCTCCACCCCCAACTTCCACTCCACATCTTCACTAAACCCTCCTCACCTCCTCCCACTTGGGTTGACCATTCTGGATTTGAACACTGAGTCATTGTGACTTATTGCCAGGTAGGACCTTGAGTTAAGAACAGAACAACAGTTTGTCTCGCCTCATAAGCACTGGTAGCCTAGGCGGGGCTTAGCCAGCAGATCATTGTTTACTGAGAACTACGACTCACCCTTAGTTATTGCCTTGGCTAATGATTTTCTGCCCTGGGGACTTCCCAAGGTTTCTGGGTTGTCAGGAAAGCATGCTAGCAGCATGACTCCTCGGACTCCTGCCCAAGGGAGGAGAGGCTGCTTCTTCCTGGAAGGGCCTCAGGCTATGTGTCTGGGATGTCTTTCAGTTTTTCTGTCTCCAGTTCTCTTCTCTGAACTTGAGTGAGGCCTGCAACTCTGGGGTGCGAATAGACTTTTCCAGGAGGCAAGCTAGGCTGTGGGTGGCAGAAGGATGCCATTGGATGTGAACGGAGACTGCACTTTCATTTCCCAGCTGCCCAGATCCAAATAATGACACAGAAGCTATATTAGTTATAACATTGTTGGGCTGACTGCTCAGGCATACTTCTAGCTAGCTCTTACATTTTAAGTTAACCCATTTCTACTAATCTGTGCATCGCCACAGGACTGTGGCTTACCGGTGAGGTTCTGGCATCTTTCTCCTTTTTCGGCTACATAGCATCTGCCTGCTTGCAGTTTAGTTTTCCCACTTACCATATTCTGCCCTGCCATAGGCCAATGCAGGTTCTTTATTAACCAATGGTTTTAAAACATATTCACAGCATACAGAGGAGAATCCCACATGAATTGGATGTTTTAAGCACTGCAGTTTTGGGAGATGTTATGGTTTCAGAAATGTTACAGAGAACTGGGTATGGTAGAATATGCCTTAATTTCAGTGCTCAGAAGGCTGAAGCAGAAAGATTGTGAGTTTAAGACCAGCCTGGACTATATAAATAGGTACTGACCAGAGAAATTTAAAGAAAAAAAAAGACAGAGGTTGTGAACCTAAGAGGCCTACAACATTGTGACCCCAAGTTATTCAGAACCAGGAGTCTGTTCATGTGTCCCAGGCTGCTCTTGAAATCTCCAGGTAATGCAGGCTGCTCTCTAACTCTTGGCGATTCTCTGCCTCCTCATTGTGAGTGCTAGGATTGCAGACACGCACTGCCATGCCTTGCATACACTCCTAATGGGAAGTTAAGGCTGCCACCTAAGAATGAAATTAAGGAATGAACATGGAATAAACAGGTTGATCACCATCACTGGTGACATTTATTGAGAATAAACGTATTCTCACTGAATCTATGGGGGCAGTGGTTACAGAGCTACGAAATACATGGACAGTCTGGGGATGAAAGATGAGTGAAGTGACATATAAGCTTAAGTATTACTCATACTTTGAAGGAAAACTGATGGGGTTGGGATAGGGGAGACACTGACATTATAGACCCCAGAAAAAGGAGAGACTGAGTAAGAATGATAGAAAGGACATTGAGCTGCCTCCCAGGAGGCCCTCCCCAAAGACCCAGAGCCGGTGGTCTTGGCATGTTTGGTGCTGATGGACCTGACACTATAGAGCCGGTGTCATTTGCCCTTAACTCATTCACGAGTTGTCCTTCCACTGGCTTTTGTTTGCCTGGGAACTGTGTTTCACATATAGATTTGTCTATAGGGACTTAGGAGATAACACAGGATCCTGTTTTTGTTTTCTGTCTAAGTCTTCGTTGCCTTTGTAAATGAGAAAATTAGCATTTAGGTTTTTTTTTTTAAATATTTATTTATTTATTATGTATACAATGTTCTGTTCGCGTGAATGCCTGAAGGCCAGAAGAGGGCACCAGACCTCATTCCAGATGGTTGTGAGCCACCATGTGGTTGCTGGGAATTGAACTCAGGACCTTTGGAAGAGCAGGCAATACTCTTAACCGCTGAGCCATCTCTCCAGCCCAGCATTTAGGTTTTAAATTGCCAATTCTGGTGCAGCCACAAGATTACATCCCTGAACTATGGAATTGAGAGTCACATCCCAAGAGGAAGTCACCACTATGCAAGGGATTGGGGCTGGGGTGTGCAACTAATACTCCTTAAGGCTTCTTGTGCGATGTTGTGTATAATTTGTAGGGGAGTTCTACTTGAAGTTTTCTCAATTTTTTCATCCTATAATAATTTATAAAGTGATCCCCATGTGCCAGGTCGTGTGCCTATTGTTGGATTATGACTCCTAAGGCAGACTAGGGGCTTTCATGCAGATGCTCTGCTGAGAGCTTGGAGTTGTCTTCAGAAGGAAAAAAAAGTAAGAGATGAGAAAGGAGAAGGACAGGGTAGAGGAAAAGGTAGCACATGGTCTTGTCTGGGATCCAGCCTCAGCTTGACTTTGAAGGTAGCTCTGAGAACAGTCAATTGTGCTGTAGAGTCGATCCCGTTATACCAGTCAGCCATTGATGATCTGTCTTTCTTGGAGGAAAGGGAAGAAAGAGAGAGAAGTCGGGGAACTGTAACTTTTAGTGTAAAAGCAACTCCTATCTGCTGAGGGCTTTTGTCTGTAGAAATCAAACAGCTATGATTTATGCATAGCAAACAATAATGAGGGTGGGCACAATGTTGGTAAAAGGGACCTCATGGGGAATCAACAGCTACAGCAGTCGATCTCGTAGTAAAAGATTCAGAAAATCTGGATGATTTGTATCATGTTCATCCGTGAAAACTATTTGATTTGGGGCTGGAGTAGAACTTGGTGGTTAAGAGGTCTTCCCACTCTTCCAGAGGAGCACAGTTCAGTTCCTAGCATCCACATCAGGTGGCTCAAAACTGCATGCAACTCCAGCTCTAGGGAATCCAACACCATTTTCTGACAACTCACACACGCGCGCACACACACACACACACACACACACACACACACACACACAAACCTCAGAGCTGGTTGGCTCTATGGAGCTAGTCTCTAAGTCCTTGGAATACCCTATTCAATATAAGTGTCTGTTTGCACAGAAGTCTTGAACTACATCAAATAGTCTATGCCAACAATATGATTTGCCTTGGGGACTTAGACCAGAAATCAGGATTACCTTGGCCTCTGGAATGTTTGGACTATCATCAACCAACATAGGCAGTCAACTGTATCTGTATCTCCAAAAAAGTTCTGGACTCCAAAGGTTCAGTGAATTTTTCTTACGAACAGTGCTTGGTGCATGTTGTCTCACATACTGCTGGAAGGATTAGGTACTGGCAACCCGATTCCATTTTCATATAAACAATGGAAGCTCATACACAATCTTCCCTGTACCCTGCCGTTTACAGTCTTCTGTTGTGGGTTTTAATCTGTCCGCAACCTTTCTTTGTCATAATCTGTGAGCATTAGTATAACCACTTTGGGGAATTCTTCTGATAAACCATTGAAAAAGAGAGTGGTCTTGGGGACTCCAGAACAGCACTGGCATCCAAAGTAGGGTTCACCAGGACAGTGCTGAGTCGCTAAAATAGGATGGGATCACGAGTTGAGAGAAAGGACAAGAGGGAGAGACTTTGATTCCCAGATGGCTACTTAGTCATCCCCAGCTTGGAAATGAAGCAGTCCCATGATCAGTTGCTAGAGGTCAAAGTTATCAGTGGAATTTATTGATGACAGCTAACTCCTGGGGGAGTTGTTTAGGAAACTGCCCAGAAAGTAGAATAATTAACCAAAACCCCAAAGAATTGTTTTAAAAAGTTAACAAAAGTAGAGGATGAAGAATATTTGAAAGCTAGTTTTAGAAATTTCAAATAAAATCATAAAAGTTTTTTCTGAAGCAATGAACTTTATCGATGTTATTCAAGGGAACGGGGCTTTTCAAGCACTCTCTTCTCTTATGGAGGCCTGGGATGAAAATTATGACAGGGGACATATGTTGGGGGTTGAGTTGGGAGAGGAATGCCTCGACAGCCAAGGGCCTTACTCCTCCTTTCATGTTCTTCCTGGCGGGTGGTCCAGGCCTCCTTATTCCTTAGAGGCCATGTGGACCATAAGCTCCACCCCCTGCAGTTGTAGCTAAATTCATTGTCATTCCAGGAAATGAACTTGACAAAGTTGATATTCAGAGCAATGTCAGCCTCAGCATCAAAGATGAAAGAGTGGGTGTCACTGCTATTATCACAGGAAACAGCCTGTTCTTCCTCATATAGCCCCAAACGTCCTTACGGCCCTCTGGTACCTGCCTCACCACT